GCGCGACTCGTTCCGGGTTTATTTCTCAAATTGGTGAATTCTCCCCTTGCTCGGACCAGCAATGAATTCACACGCTGTGTGTAGTGCAATGCATATATCTCAGCTCTTGCTGGTGATGGCTCACTGGGCCAATGCATCGGCCAGTATAGACCCGGGTCGTTATTACATACCTTGAAGATAGCAGCAACACAGTCCGCCTATTGTCACTTGCACTATATTGGATGGGTTTATCAATGATGTGTTGGGTGGCACGTGTATATGTGTATGTGTTCCAGGCCTGTCTGACAGGATTGCAGCGCTTCTGATGTTGCGTATGATGCTGTGCTGGCTGCGGTCTCACCTGGGGACCTTTTGACCCGTACCCGCCGTCTTGAACAGTGGGCCACACGGTAGAGGCACCCCAAGTGTGGGATCGTGGTTCTGACCAGCTCAAGAGAAGACATTTGTGGAGTCCTGTAGCTCAGTGGTTAAGAGCACTCGCTTTGCAAGCGAGAGACCCGAGTTCAATTCCAGGCAGGTCAGGGAGAAACCTTGGGCAAGTTTCCTCACTCCACACGCCTAATAATAATCCCTCCAAAACCCAAAACAATAATAAATTGGTCATTTTCAATCTACGACATTGTGGGACATTGCTGTGCGCAAATGGCTGCCGCGTTCGCCCACAAATATACAGTCAATTCACTTTACAGTGTGTTCTGTGAAGCGCTTTGGGACGTCCTCCCGACGCGAAAAGCGCTATATCAAATGCAAGGATTATTATTATTCGAGGGTATCGATTGCAAGATACAAGGGCCATCAGTCGCAGTTGTCTCAAGGTTGTGGTGGGCACCAACTTTTGCTGGGACGTTGTCCTAAATGACCGAGTAGAGATCGTGCACATCTCTCTTCAAGGACAGCAAGGTCCTGATGCAGTTCAAGCTTGTGGCTTATAAGACCTGTGTGCAAACAGTTCTCCTGGATAGATCTAAGCTCCTGGAAATGCAGTACAGCAGCTTGCTCCAGACCATTTGCAGAAACCAGGATCAAGCAGTGAGGTGGATTTGTGACAAACACGGAATGTGACTACAGGAAGAAAAGACTCCGGCCTACACTGACCTGTTGCTGAGCACACGGGAGGTGGAGTCTGCTTCACATTGGACGTATCTATTTGCCAAGGTCCTTTACATGAGGACCTGAATTAAGCAAATGGTGCTGAGTAAGTCTGGTACGCAGCATTGGACTTGGGACTTTTGGCAGGACTTAGAAGGACAGACCAGTCACTGAGGCCAGGGACTCTTCCACTCAGCTCTTGTTAACCCTGCAAACCAAAGTCCTGATGGGTAGGGTGTTCCCAGCTGGACAAGAGTGTAAATGCTTGCAAGATTGTACTTTCAATGGGTCAATTCACCATGCTCCTCACAAAGAATTTCTTCTACCCAAGCAATGGCTCAAACCTGCACTTGCCAGATGTCTAATAATCAATTAGGGACTTTCTTTTGGCATTTCGTTAGGGATCAGCTGTCTCTAATACAGCATCAGAGTTAAGTTGAGTCTTTCTGGCAGTTTCAGTCTCTTTGTGTACAACGAGGCACTGCTGATATTGGACTATTCAAAAGGGAAAGTCACTGAATAAAGATCTGCAGCATGAATGCTGAGCTGACTTTCTTGCTCTTCTACCTCCCTAATCCAGGGGCACTGAGATCACTTGTCACTTCCACTTTTGCCTAATTCAGATAAACTAGACCAGCAGTCTGGATATCAACATTACAATTTCCTGGTCTGTATGAATCGTGCTTTACTTTTACCCACTTTACACATTGGGGAAGCTCCCTTGACCAATTTCAATGCTCTGGTGCAGAGCAGAGAGACCGAGAGTGGTTCTGGCAGAGAGGAAATGGGACAGAATTTAACAGACATCTGTTGGTTAAATATTTATGACAGAAGTTTGAGTGACCGGAAAATATCCCTCTGTGTATTAAACAGAGTATGAACCTTTAAAAGAATCCATACATGTGTTCACAGATGAGTCCTAGCAGATTATTTATTTCCTCCATTGCACAATTGCCCTTTTTCCATAGTGTTTGGGTGCCTTTTGATTGATGACATTGCACAGGAAGGAAGCATGTTAAGCTCCATAACAACACTAGAACTTTTTTTGGCAGAAGCTAGTTCTGGATCTTGGAGTTCCCTTCACTATTCTCTATTGTGTCCTTTCTGCAGGTTCCCACAGGAGAAATTTGTTCCTACCAATTTGCACTTATACAGCATTTTATGTGGGATGATTATCTTGCAAGTCTGTAAACCACAAGCATCCATTGGAAGAAGCCAGAAACATGAACAAAACAGGGTTTTACGAATGAGCCATACATTCGGGTCATGTTGGGACTTAAACACACAATGTAAGAGTCACATAGTGTTAAACTCACCATGTGTAAGTCTCTGGTCTGGCCAGGTCTGTGACTAAAGATTATTACACACTTGTTACTCCAGTGCAGGTGTTGACTGCTTTCCCGGATGTTCTGTAGCACACATGTTGTACAAAATAATGCTTCCTGTCCATAATGTACACTAATTGTATGATGTTCTCCTGCTGTCTCAGGACCAAAGCAGCCCTAAGTGGATAAGAAGAGTTATCCTGGAGCGTGGGATTACAACAACAAGATTACATTTGTATAGCGGCTTTCACGTCGGGAGGACGTTCCAAAGCGCTGGATTAATAATAAAGCAAGATATTACAAGGAGCAGTGGTTGTGCATGATGGACCCAATGGCTTCCCTTTGTACTGAAAATTTCAATACCTGGAAAAAATGAACTTTCAAGCTAGATGTGAGAACAGAGGAGAACTTAACCAATTTGAAGTTGACACAAACTTAGGAACTGTTGTGAATTGTGAAGAGAGCAGGAAACTGCAAAACATCAAAAGCAGTGGCTATTACAATTCAATTTGTCAAAGTATCATTTAATCTCTTGAGTAATGCCACAGATGTTTAATGATTATCTGGGTTATAATGGAAAGAAATTATCTGTGAGGTGTTCAAACAGCAATGATGTGGTTTTTGCAAACTAAATCTCGCAAAATAGGATACTACCTTCATGGGAATCCAGAACATAGGGATATAATATTGCCTATTTTCATATTAAATAGGACCAGCTCCATTGTGGATATGAAAATATGCAGCTATCAGGTTTTCAAACAAAACAGAATGTACATTGCTAAGTACAACTTTATGCTATTAGGACTTATACTATTACTAAAGTACTATACTGGGCAAGCACTTATCTTTCCCTTCCATATATAGAGCAAACCCTCCATCTCAATCTCTCTCTCTCTGACTTCTAATATACCTGCATCTGAATGAACAAAAACACATTATAAATTGCATTACTGGTTTAAATACACACTTGGAAAATTCCTGCTGCTGGTTAAAAATCTGTGACTATGTAATTAAAAATTTCAGCATAATATAACTGTGATCTTATGTTAGTGAGGTTAAGTGGTCCTGTAGTTATTCAGGGTGCTGATGTGAAGCACTCATCTTAGTATAAAAATTAAGAGCCAAGCCCTAGGAAATCATTCAATCAACTTCGCCATTTAAAGGGAGAATAGATATTTGAGCAGTTAGGACATTAAAAGAATATGGAGAAAAGGTATGCGAAGGAGGTATAAACTTCAAGAAAGTTGATATAATCAACATGGCTACATGTGTGGATAAAGGGTGCAGCATTGAGTCACACAGGCCAGATTGTCACACGTTGGATTCCTGCTCTGTTGAATTTACAACTCGGTAGACCTGAATTAGTCAAAGGATTCTAAGCTACAATTCTTGTTTTAATGGCTATCTGGAGACCACCTATTGGATAATCCGCACATTAACAGAACAACAACAAATTACATTTATATAGCGCCTTTCACGGCGCAAGGATTTCCCAAGGTGCTGATCAGGTTCTCTATGACTCAACCCTGCCCTGGCACTGTCAAATAAACTGCTAATACTTCAGCATCCCTGGGATATGGAGAGTAAATCAGCGGGGTTCCCATTCCTGAATACTATACAGATATCCCTGGAGATATTAGAAGAGGACAGAATTGGAGGGTTTGTTGAGAGGCCCCATGGAAGGCAAACACCCTGCTGTCACTCACTGTCAGGGCTCACACATAAACACTGACCAGTTTGTTGATGTGCCGCAGGACGCCTTTGAACCCCAATAGCTTTTGGGAGAGATGGAGGAGAAAATGAACCCAAAACACAACACAGTTCGGCAGCCCTCCCAAAAAAAGGCATGTGATTCCGCATTAATATTTAAATAAAACACTCTACAGCCGAAAATCCCTGTCCCTGGTCAGCTGGAGAATGAGGAGCAGTTCAGAACAGATGGGATGTTTGAAATTAAAACTAAATTGGCGGCCAATGGTGGTGGCAGGGAATGCCCTGTCCAGTCAGTGGGGCTCTGCTTCACTCACCAGCCGTCCCTTAAAAGCACATGATACTTTTTAAAAAAAAATATTGTACAGGATTTAAATCCGATGCAGGATGTTGCGATTGTTTAAAATGTGGCAGAGAGGAAGGATCTGCACCGCCCAGTGGCGTCTCTTTAAAGCGGAGGAGGAGGGGGAGGAGGGGGGTTGGGGGGGGGGGGGGGGAGTGTGGGGGGTGTATTTGTGTGTCTCTCTGTGTGTTCTCAGCTGCTCCAATGTCACAGAAGCTGTTGCTGTTGCTCGCAGCCCTGCCAACCCGTCAGCTGATGAGCCGCTTCACTACACACAACACACACGTAGTGGCGTATGGAGAAACAACCCCCCCCTTTGTAACTGACATCTCCCTCTCTTCCCCCCCACCAACCCCCTCCACCCCCTCCTCCCTCCCCGCCTTGTCCTTCTTTCTTAACACAACCCCCCCCTCCCACTCCCCCTCCCGCCCCTCTCCAGCCCCACTCCCCTCCCCCCACACCCACTGGGGGTGTGGATGCTGCTCCCCTGGGCTCGGAGGCCACAGTCCTGGTTGGGGAATAGTCCTTTGTTTACATGCAATCCCAGTCTTTGCGGAAGGAGGCGGCGGTGCTGCGAGAGCACCAGCTGTTTCCCGCCATTTACAACCATCTGATACACTGATCAGCTGGAGACTCACACACACACACACAGCGTCCACTACACACACACACACACACCCACAAAAACACATTTCTTTTTATTTCCACCGATTGCTGTGTGCGTGCGGGGCGCTTTCATATATATATATATATATAGACACACACACACACACACATAGATATATATACATATATATATATATATATCTCAAAACATTGCAGGTACAAGAATGGAGTATTTCGTGGTGCCCACCCAGAAGGTGACTTCATTCCAAGATTTCAGGAAGAGTGAGAAAGAAGTCATAGGAGGTCTCTGTAGGTGTGTACTTTTTTTTCGAAAAAAAATGCATTGCTCGTAACAAGCACTCCACCATCTGCTGTTTGCGTGGAGACCTTTTCTGTGCGTGTGTGTGTGTGTGTGTTTGTGTATTTGCTCTGAAGGAGCACAGTGCTGGGGGGGGGGGGGCTGGTGGTGGGGTTGGGGAGGGGGTTCATGCATTGATGCGGTGGGGGCTGCGGGTTAGCGGGAGGGAGGGAGGGAGGGAGGAACAACACGTGGATTTTGGAGGGGGGGTTTCTGAAGTGAAATGGTTACATTGAGAGGCTGCAAACAGACGCACGTGGGAAGCGCTGCTGCAGCCATGCTGCTCCCCCAGAGAAAGGGGGGGATCGGGTAAAGCTCCTGCCCGCGCCCCGCAACTCCCTGCCCTGCCCTCCCCCCCTCCCTGCCCGCCTGCCCTCCCTCCCCAGCCCGGGCTGCGCAACACGTGGGTCTGGGCAGTGTCCGGGGGTGTTGATCGGGGGGTGAAATTTACGAAAAAAAAGACAAGTCCGTGTTGGATCGCGCTCCCGGTCACCCCCTCCCCCCGCCCCGGCCCCCCGGGACTCTGCGCGCGGGGGTGGGGGTGTGTGTGTGTGGGGGGGGGGGGGGGGAAGCGCCGAGGCCGAGCGGCGCTTCGGGCCTGTCCCTCTCTCCGCCTCCCCGCAGCGCAGCTGGAGTTGGACAGGGCCCGGGGAGCGCCGGGATCTGTAGTCCCGGTCGGTGTGAAGCGCAGCCGCAGGAACTTGGGAGTCCGCGATGAGCTGTGAACCACATGCGGGGCCAGTCACTACACACGCGAACAGTCACTACAGTGTGTGTGTGTGTGTGTGGGGGGGGATTTGCATTCACTGACCCCCCCCCACACACACACACACACACACACAGACTGCAACCTCATGGTGGTATAGAGGCGCTCCTGGTACCAATACTCAGCCCAAACTTAGTGCAGCTGAAGTTTTAACTCACCCACAGGGCCGGACAACCTGAACTGGTGATCAGAGCTGCATTGAGATGTTTGGACTTTTAATATTGTCTCCTCTCACGGGAGCACTGCCCGGGTTTCTGTCAGTCACCCCCCCCCCCCCCACCCCCCCCCGGCTACGTTTGCTCATTTACTCTGTGGCTGCTTGTGGCAAATTGTTGTGCACAAAATTTGGCCGCCACGATTGCCCACGAAATAATAGGAATCCTGACATTTAATAATAATAATGATCCTCGCATTTGATATAGCGCTTTTCGCGTCGGGAGGACGTCCCAAAGCGCTTCACAGAACACGCTGTAAAGTGAATTGACTGTATATTTGTGGGCGAACGCGGCAGCCAATTGCGCACAGCGATGTCCCACAAACAGTCGTGGATTGAAAATGACCAATTTATTATTGTTTTTGGTTTTGGAGGATTATTATTAGGCTCTGTGTGGAGTAAGGAAACTTGCCCAAGGTTTCGCTCTGCCTGGAATTGAACTCGGGTATCTCACTTGCAAAGCGAGTGCTCTAACCACTGAACTACAGGATTTGATATAGTGCCTTTCACGTTGTCGAGACGTCTCAAAGCGCTTCACAGGATATACTGTAAAGTAGATTAGCTGTGCATTTTGTGAGTGAAATATACCTTCCTACACTTTACAGCAAATTTTGTGAAGCATCTTGAGCATCCTGTACAGTAAATAATAATCCATCTCGTAGAGTCACAGATGTAATGACTGTAGATTTGTAGACAAATGCAGCAGTTAACTTAAGGTCACCATAAGGTCCCACAAAGAATCTTGAAGTGAACTCCAGTTTATCTGGAGAATTGTTGCCAGGACCTTATTTGAGATGCCTTTTTAAATGCAAAAGCCTAAAGACTAAGGGGTTGCAGGCTATTCAACAATGGAGAACACCACATCAGTGCTCAATGTATCCACAAATGGACAGAGGTTGTTGTGCAGTCAGTATTTGTTAATTTTGTCCTTTGCTGGTCTAGGAGCCAGTGTAGCTTCATAGTTTGTGAATCATCCAAACCACTCAATTCGATCCCTCCTGTTTGTTTTCTGGATATCCATTGCTGCTATCCACCTCGGGGATGCCTTTCTCTCTTCCTTATGTGGCTTAGCGACCTTAGCTGGTCAAGTGTGTCCAGGCACTCCGAAATGCTGTCTGGCATCAAGGGCGCTGTATAAATGTAAGTTGTTCATGCGTGAATGTTACGCACATGTACAGAACCATACAAAGTGAAAACCCAGGTTCCATTGATTAGGTTGATTCCTCATCTGTGTTGCAGCACTTAGCCAGCTAGGGTCATCTCCGAGTCAAAAGATTGTGGGTTCAAGGCTCACATCGGACTTTGAACTCAACGTTTAAGCTAATGGGTGCCAGTCCAGTCTTACAGATGATGAATGCATTTGTTAGGGAGGCTATCCTTTGGATGAGATGTTAAATCAAGATCTTGTCTGCTTATTCAGGTGGATCCCATGCCATTATTCTAAAAGAAGCAGAGTTTTTTTCAGTGTCCTGGCTAACAATCCCCCAAACAGAATTTGTCATTAGCTTCATGGCTGTTTGGGAGGCATTACTGTGCGCAGATTGGCTGCCCTGTTCAGCTACAGATACAGTCACTGGTTTATAGTAAAATCCTGCAAAGTGCTTTGACACTTCTTGATAAGGTGATGTATCAAATGGAAGTACAGTAAAACTTGCATAAGTCTTCTCTTTATAAATAATATAATCGCCTAAGTCGTACATGCACCCACTCCCATTCAGTTTCCTAACAAAAAGCACTTAGATTTCTTTGCACTGCTTGTATTTTAATAAAGTAATCATCTCCTAACTGGTATCCTCCATTACTCCTGCACTTCTTGGCTGCATTGAATCAAGGGAATCGTAGAGATACCTGTTGCCGCGCGGGTAGAAGAATTTCCCTTGATTCAACGCAATTCCAACGCTTGCTAATAAGTGAGTATGCGGCGACAGGTCAAGACGTATTGAATCACGGGAAACGTAATCTTGACCTTTCACTGCATGCATACATACCGGCTACAGTAACAAAGTAGGACCTTGGCGGGGCTGTGACATAAGTGACCAATCTTGATTCTTACGAAATGGCTCGGAGTTTGGTTTCTGTGCTGGTTCTGTGCAGTTGTGATGCCCCATGTAATTGATGTTTGGCCTATTGTGGACAAGATTGTTCCTGTTAAGTGCTTACTCCATTCCCACGGTGTGTGGCTGAGTTGCAATTCCACATGCAAAGGCTGTCCCTAGTACTTAAAACAAGTAGCCATGTTTGAACCCAGATACTCACATATTTTCAATTGAAAATAATGGATAGTGATCCCTGGCTAATGTCCAGAAACGTGTTTTACTTTGTTGTTCCCCTCCCTTTAATCAGGTCAGAGGCCAAACGTAGCCCCTAATACTGCTCCACTTAAGATCAAACCTGAAACCAAATGTACAACTTTCCAGTCTGAATTGCTTATTCCGACTCCAGGAGTGGCTTTAACCACTAGATGTCAGAAAAGCTAGTTGAAGTGCATCTGTCTTGAAGGCATTTCATTCATTTCATTTTATCATTGGCATACCATTTCACAGGTGCCCCTTTGGTACTTCACTTAAGTGGCTACTATATTCATGGGTGAGTATTTACAGTGAATATCAACTATGTTGGTGGCAGCACACCTGATCCTGCCCTTGCCTCCCTCCTATTCACCCACGCGCACCCCTTTCCAATCATCAATTGTGCCCACTATCACATGGTTCTGGCTTACACATTGTGTATTTCTCATATTCCCGCAGCTTGGCAAATATACCCCTTCCCCAGGAGTCCCAGAGAGACCAGGAGAGACGGATACGGAGAGAAATCGCCAACAGCAATGAGCGGCGACGCATGCAGAGCATCAATGCTGGATTCCAGTCCTTGAAAACATTGATTCCCCACACTGATGGAGAAAAGCTCAGTAAGGTTAGATCCACTAGCTTTACATTTAACAGCATATTTTATTCAATGCAGGCAGGTGTTTTTTTTTGTAAAGGTGTTTCAATGCTTTCTCCGCTTTTCTTGGCATTTGCTCCTGTTGCTCTATAGCACTGACCACAGCAAAGGGTACTTTCATATGTGACCTCAACAGTAAGTATGGTCAACTGGGGCTTAAGCTTGATTCTGTCACGACTTGGTGTTCACACACCTCAAGCTTCTAGAAGGATCTCTGGATAATGACCAGGGGCAGAAACTGTGATGACTGCTGCTCGGGCAAGTCAAGGCTCTGCTTCTGACCTGGGTAAATGATGTAAAACCCACAAATTAATTTGTTATTGATTAATTTCTATATGAGGGGAGTCAGGCTGTGTGAACGTCATGGGATCTTTAATGACTATCTGAACAGATAGAGGGGACATTGATTTAATGTCATTTTAAGAATGGCACCTCCAACAAAGCAGTGTTTCCCCATGGCCTGCACTGCCGTGTAGCCTAAACCGAGTTTATGTCTCAGCATACATTTGAACCCATAATCTTCGGTCCCAGAGGCGAGAGAGCTACCAATTGACTGGCACGTTTCTATTCCCACAGGCAGCCATCTTACAGCAAACAGCTGAGTACATCTTCTCACTGGAACAGGAAAAGACACGGTTATTGCAGCAGAACTCGCAGCTCAAGCGCTTCATTCAGGTGAGTCTGTGCCACAGCAGCTACCAACATATGGGGTAGTGCTCTATAAATGGATCTGACATTACCAAAGGAGAATCAATTTAATTGGGACAGTTCAGAAGTGGAGCTGTCTGTACAAGTACGACTGGAATCTATTGGAAAAAAGCTAAAGATCTCAGGCCAGGTTAAGTGGAGTAAGCTCACTATGATTCTGAAACAACATTGGTACTGAACTTTCTAGTGCACAATGAAGCACCAGGGGGCACTCTTCTGAGGATGTGATTAAGGCAGAATAGGGATCCGTACAATATCTCAGCTGAGACTGGGAGGTATCTCACCTGGAAGTTCTGGATGGGATAGTGTAGAGGGAGATTCTAATGTTTTCTATACATGACCTAAGGGGGCGGGAAGAGAGACTGTCTTGCTATTGTAACAGTTACTGAGTGCTGACATTGTTAGGAAGCTAGATTCCCATCAGTTGATATATAGTGAGTACCTATAGTGGCATAGAGCACTACCTGGGAGGAGTTACAGGCTGATGTTCTCAGAATCTGGACCAAGTGCTGAGGTCTATCTGTTTCTGGCAGGAGTATAGTGGCTCATCCCCCAAGAGACGGCGTGCAGAGGAGAAGGATGAGGGGATTGGATCCCCTGACGTCTGGGAGGATGAGAAAGTAGAGGACCTAAAAAGGGAAATGATTGAATTGCGCCAACAGCTGGATAAGGAGCGTTCTGTCAGGATGATGCTGGAGGAACAGGTCAGTGTGAGCTCTTTACCACCACCCCCCCTCCACCCCGTCTATTCCAGGGTAGAGCCATTTACAGAGCCAGTGGAGCGGCCAGACACTGATACCAGACTATGCAACATAGTTTGCCTCTACTGTTAACTCTGCGTGGGGATGGGAAGGGTTCCACATTTTCTATTGTATGGTTCTGCCTGTCTGTTATAGTTATGACAAAGCAACTGGAGGATGTAAAACTTTACACTGTTCTGTTTGCTGTGCCATGCCTACACTATATGGGTGCTAATGACCTCTACTGGCCATCATGGAATATTACAGTATCATCTCCTGTCAATACTGCAGGATTCGGTTGAATGTGAGTTTCTGTACAACCCTCATCCCGTGTGTGTCAGCATCCGGGGGGAAGCATTCCCGGATCTACTTTGGTTGTACAGGCAGGACAGTGAACATCTGGAAGGCTTCTTGCAATGTACAAGTGGCCTCTCATATCTCACACTTGTTTCCTGCCTGAGAAGGCCCACTGCTGACCTGTGTCTGTGTTGCAGGTCCGGGCACTGGAGGCACACATGTACCCGGAGAAACTAAAGGCCATTGCGCAGCAGGTGCAGTTACAACAGCATCAGGACCAAGCGCGAGTGCAGCAGGCGGGGGAGCCGCTGGAGGAGGACCTGCAGACACAGGTCAGGAGCACCCCCCACCCCCTATCTCAAATTCAGCATACAACCCCCCCCCCCCCACCACCACCTTCCAATTTAAGATGTGTCTTTTTTTTCCTCGATTCTTGTACAACTGTTGGCCACTTCACAGTTTTGGAATCAAACTGAATTTGTTGCCCATCTGCTAAGCTATTGTAATCCTTCACAATCCCCGTTACAATTTCCCTTGCCCCCAATTTGGTATAGATTTCAGTAGTTTCCTCAATTCCTCCATCATTTTATCCATATAGTAAATGAGCGGTCTCCTAAACGCACACCACTCACTAACTCTTCCCATTCTGGGAAACTTCCTTTTGCCCCCTCCTCTTTGCTTTCTGCCCTCCATCTTTCTACCATGAGCCACATTCACAGTAATTCTATGTGACTATCTTTACCATAGGCCTCTTTACAGTGGTGCCTTATCATATTTTTGCTTGAATACATTCACTGCACTTTATCCTTTCTGTTACTACAAGAGTTTGACAAGGTTGGTCAAGCACAATCTAATCTGCCTTTTAAAAATTTGTGCTCACCTATCCCAATTGCTTAGTTTTTCTCCAAGTGCTTAATGTGCAGTTACAACAGCTCCCACTATCTGGAACTCCATCCCTGAAGTCTCTCCAACTCGGTCCCTCCCTCATTTCTTTCACAGTCGGTCTCAAGACCTTCCTGTTGCCCCCCCCGCACTCCGCTCAGCTCCCACCCTGAGCTCAGGTGCCAAGACAAGACTGTTGTGCTCTTTGGGACGTCCTGACATGAAAGGCGCTATATAAATGTAAATTTGAATTGTATTATCGTCTCTAGCAGTTTACCAAATGTTTACCTTTGAATGATTGTATTTGTTGTTCTTGTTTCATAGCTGTTGCCCGCGCACATCTCCCTAGCATCAACTCATCATCCCACAGTCATTGTGCAGACTCCACCTCCAGCACCTTCGCACCACGTTGCCGTGGTGACCATGGGAGCAGCCTCCGTGATTAACACCTCCACTACATCAAGACAGAACCTAGACACCATAGTTCAGGTAAGTCTCAAGATTCTTTTGCTTCTCCTCCTTTGAGGCATAATTAGATGCTCAGTGTGCGACTGAGCCACATGGAATGGGTAGGCCCATGTTTGTTCATCTTGTCTTTATTGGGTAGTAACAGCGGCACTGTACAATTGGTTTCAGTGTCCTTGGAATGTCTGTGAGTGTGTATGTGTGTGAGGGGGGAGGGGGGGACCTCAACTATTAGCCAGGGTTACAGTCCCTGATCACTATTTTGCCCCTCCTTTCTTGTTGGAAGGTAATTGGGTGTGTATGTCTGACAAGGATAGGGTATCAGGGCTGTGACTATTTTTCCCTACTGCTCCCTCTTGAACACTTGGCATCTGCCTTTGTCCATGACGAATGGGTCCTGGTTGCCTATGGAACTGCACAGTAGCAGGCGTCAGTGCCTTTCCGGGGGGGGGGGGGGGGAGGTGGGTTCCTACCACGAATTCGGGTCCTCAGTTGCCACCCCCACTCCCGATTATATAGTCTGAATGGCGGAGCTTAATGTGCAGAGGATTAATATCTCCCCCTTTTACACACCAGGCAATCCAGCACATTGAAGGGACACAAGACTCACAGGAAGAGGAGAGACGGAGTGCTGTCATCGTTGAGCCTGTCCGGGTATGGTCTGAGCTGGCACAGTCTGACACTGAGTCAGACCGGGAGGAGAGCAACCCAGAAAACGCTGCAGCACAGAGCGAGGCTAAGACCCTCACCAATAGAGCACTCCCTTGACACACAGAGGTGACCAAGCGGGCATTATGCCAGACAAACACCCCCTCCCCAAGGCCCCTCCTCCATCCTGGTGGGGTGTGTGTGTGGAAATGCACACACATCAAGGTCTCATTTGGGCCTTTCCAATTCTGTACAATCTCAGCCTAGAGAGGGGGCAACTACAAACGCTGGACTTGCCTGATAGGACTGCATGGACCGAGCCTCCATCCTCCTAAAGAAATGCTCGACTTTCTGAGAGATATTTGGCATTTTCTTTATGGACGGAGGTCGGGACATTTTGAGCACTTAATTTGTTGCTGTCCAGGAAGCCCCCGCTCCCCCATGTGATTGCGCAGCCTTCCCTGTCCTCCTGCAATTGTAACTCCTCCCCTGCCCTCAGCCACGTATTTGCTGTAGTTGATTTTAAACAATGTTCTTTTGTGTATTGCTGGTTTTATCGTCTGCCCTGTATCTGTGTGACATCGTTTCAGACATGGTTTGTCTTCATGGAGATACTATTATATTTTGTTAAGAAAGTGGGAAAAAAAAAGGCGTTTGCCTTGCAAAGAAAGAAATAAAGTTTGTACTTTTGTTTTTTTTAAAAGAACGGCATAATTTGATTTTATTTCTCTCCCTTCCCCAAACCCCCCATCACATCCCCCAGCCCTCATCCTGCGGCCACTTGTCCCCCGCCCAACCTGGTCCCTTGGTGGTTCTCATATCTAAACCTGCCATTCCTCCCCCCACTATCCCTCTGATATTCCTCCCCCCCCCGCGCAATCCCCTCCACCCTTGCCATTCCCCTCCCAACTTCAGCCCCTGGCCTTTCTCCCTGCCCCCACTCCTCTGCCGATACCCCCTCCTCCTGCTGCCTTCTCATGTTCCTGGCCCAACCCTCCCAACCTCTCCTAAGTAAGTGCCAGGAATTGGATCGTACCATGTCCAGAGTTACTTACTGGTGGCAGTATAAAATTGGACAGACAGTGTGAGCTAGAAGTAGATAAATGGCAGGAGCTCGTAATGGTGTGAGAGACGCAACAGTCTCCTTTGCTATTTATACACTGCTAATTACTACAGTTCTGCTGCCTGCAAATACAGCTGCCAATTCCATCAATAGCAGGTGTCCCTGTTCCACAAAATGCCATCCAAAACTGGATACAGCAAAGATCAATTCTCTGTCCCCCCCCACCCCGTCCCACCCAGGGAACGTTAATCTCCACATTGAGGAACCAACACAGGTTCAGGCCTTGCTTGCGAAGGCCTGTATCATTGCAGCACTTGATTCTGATCAGGTCCTCCGTTTGTTGCTCACGATTCTCAGCTTTGTATCAAAAAATTCATAAAAACATCACCATAGCTGATATTTAAAGCTAAATTGAGATAGAGGCAGCCAATCAGCTTTATACAAGCTGGCCCCTGGGTTGGATGGAATGGTGTCTCCTTAAGTAATACTTGGACACTGACAATTATATAACCTCTTCTAAACCTCTCAACTGGATTCCAACCTGAAATTCATTCCAGGCATTTCTTATTCTATATATAAACCATCTGAAATCAATTAGATCCCAGCCTGTAACACACTCCTTGCTTCCATTATTCTATACTGTATAAATAGAACAAGAGAGGGCGGGCAGGAGAGATGAACAAGAGAAAGCATATTTGTTGGAGCAGAGTCCACATTTTGAGAGCTCCTCATTTGGTTTGATTCTGTTACAGAGAAGGAAAGGACATGAGTAGGAGCCACCTGTTTCCACAGGAATGCAACTCCCAGACATATCCTTCTCTCAATCCTGTGCAGGGCAGAAACAAGAGTTGAAAAGAAAAGGTTGGCAACATATGTAGAGCTTCACTCTATTTGTACAGCAGAACAGTGTCCTCAGACTGGACTTACACAGCAGCAATGCCTAATGGAGAGAGGTCAGAACTACAGTACAGTATTTGATTGAGACTCACAGAAACGTAAGAACCATTATATATAATCATAACTTTTGGGAACAATGGAATATTTTTAAAATGGTACAGTTAGTCATCTTTTTACGTATGTAAAGTCACAATCATCATACAGTATTTAGTTTTATTATTGTTGGCTAATTTATCCTGACTTCCCCCAATTTCCTCTTCTGTGCCTCATTTGTGCATCTATTCTTCGTATGTGAATCCCCTCAGTAGGTTCTGGAAGGCTATTCAACTAGACTTTGTTTTACAACCTAAATGCAATCCCTTCCTCACTGCTACACTTTGCAGAGGGGTAGGGGGCACAGGATACCAATGAGAATATGGCCGTTTTTTTCTACTGGGCCCAATTATTAGCAACACTAATACTACCCTGGTTTAGATCAGTTAACTCAGCACAGACCAGGGATGGGACCTGTGACGTACAGGTCCATGTGGCTCAGTTGTGTGCAAAGGCATTGTGTTCTTTATAGCTTGTCAAAGGGAAAGGTAGGTTTTTGAAAATATTGAGACAGACATACAGACATGCCCTGAGCTGTGTACACATGCTCACACATAAGCACGTGTACTCCAGCACACAGAGCATTCCCACTTTAACAATATAACTATGGGGGCACCGAGCACAGAACAGTAAATCTACCAGTGACTGCTTTCTCTGGAACATCTGCAGAGGTATAGAGACAGACTACCTGCCATCTCTCATATGAGTCACACAATAAAATCTCCTAATAAAATCTATGTATCATTTCACAACTTTCAAAAAGATACAAACTGCTGTCCTGGGAACTCTGTGGCTTCATGCCTCTCTGGACAATATTCCAAACCTGAAGCTCGGTGTAACCCCTGGTGCACGATTCTGGCAAACAAGAATTTGTTATGCGCAAAGTTTCCAGAGAACTTTTTTCCTGATCGCCCCAGAGCAGCGTGATTGAAATCCAGCAACTGGAGGTAAATGATCAGTCACTCAGCAACTCACTGCAGGGCAGTGTGTAGTTAGTCAGAGAGAGAGAGAGAGAGAGAAAAGAAGTGATTCAACCAGAGAAACCAAGTGAGACAAAGAAATATAAAGTTAGGGAGAGCAGAAATCAGAGAAAAAGTACAGACAAAAAAAAAGTTTGAGATGGAAAGTTAGAGAATCTCAGAGGCAGAGATTGTTAAATATTTTGAGATGTTATTCTACATGAAAAGAACTATATAAATGCAAGTTGTTGTCTTAAAAACCTGCACTGCCGGAGCTGTGTTGAGTGGGTGTCTGCACTCGGCTTTGATGCTCTCAAGAATTACAGATTCAGCCAGACTCGCATATTGTGAGTCTAGGTACCGAAGGGTGGACGATGCAGTGGAACTGAATTAGAACCAGCTCCTTCAGGGGAGGAGAGGCATCGGGTGTCGCAATTACTGTGTACATTTCTAAACCAGTATGAAATAACTTAGGATGGCTCCGAGACATGAAATAACTTAGGATGGCTCCGAGACTACTGTGTGTGAAGAGTGCAATTGGCTGCCGGGTTTCGCCCACAAAATATACAGTCAATTCTCTTTATAGTATATTCTATGAAGTGATTTGAGATGTCTCGAAGTGATAAGGAGCTATATCAAATGCAAGGATTATTATATAAATTCAAGTTGTTGATCAAAGTAGTAAATCTAAAACTTTCACAACTACAAGCAAACAACTTGGGTCAGTTTGAATAATGCTGTAAAGAATACCATAATAAATATATATTAAAATGATATCAGACAAAGCATCTGAGTTAACAATGAGAGAATGGACAATGAGCAATCCTGATATTAAGAATTATTTTCCAGTTAAACTCCGGCCTCTATTTGTAATAATGTCCCCTTTTGTCAGTAAAAAGATCTTGAAATGCAAATCAGGAGCTAATATTAGCCAGTAATGTTCCAGTTCCGTTACCAAAATGCCAATTGTCATTGCAGATTAGGGACCTTTGATTCCTCCTTTTAAGGTCACTCTCTGGCCTCTGACCTTCTCCCCCTATATATTGCTGCTCACTGGCAGCTGGATCCTGGCAGCCAAAATGAAGGGACTGGTTTTTTTCAGTGTCTTCCTTGCTCTGCTGTTCCTTGTGGTGCCAGGTAAGTTTTATATATTCATGACTGTGTAACCCACTCAGATGCTAACTGGCATTTCTGTGCCTATGGCGGGGTCCCTGGTTGGGCAGACTGCCCGTTTAAATTCCCTTCAAAGAATTCTGCAGTTTGAGTGCAAGCCAGTTGATAGCAACAGGAAGGTAGAAGGTGCATTGATAATCTTGCCAAACCATTTAGATTTTTGCACAAGATGTGTGGAAAGCTTATTATTATTGCTGAAATGTTTTGATCATGTGATTTTGTTTTCTAACCGTTGTGACTTAAAAAGTTTGGGAAGATTTATTCTTGAAAGGAATGGATACTCAGACACTAAGTTTCTTGTAAACTCCAACCGTGAATATCCAACATTTGAACTGATGTGAGGATCACAGTCTGAATTTGGAATGATGTGAATTGTGTGAAGTTTGTGTCTTCTGTGTCCTGATTATTAATGTTAAAATTGAAATGAGGGGTGGTTGAAGAACCGGAATGTTACAGTTACCCTTGTGTGTCCTTGGGTTAATTTAGTACAACATTTCTGCTGCGGCTCTTCCCTGAGTATTCTGGGTTAGTGTAAAGGCACTAAGTATGGAAGCGGCTTTGTAACTGGACACCCCCTTTGGCTATGTTTCCCCCCCACCCACACACACACACAGCAGTTGCTGCTCTTGCTTTACTGTCACACTGGAGATTTATCCTGTCTTTTTGACCATTTAAGGGCATCTTTTAGTTTCCGAGAGAACAAAAATCTTGAGAGGGTATAGAAATGTGTCCTGCTCTTTCAGCTGGCTCAATGTGTGTATGGTTTGATGCCTGACCACCTGTGACTAGCGCAACCCTTTACAAATTCAAAGGTTTTGAGTGATTCCTATTTTGGTGAAACTATCTTGAGCGTCTCTGGATTGAGCTGGTGAAAGAAACCTTAAATCCCTGATGCCTGCTTTACTCAATTGCAAGTCTCCAGGGTGGGAGAACTATCAGAATCGTCTTAAAAACGGGCAAATATACTTGCTTTAGATCTTTAAAGCTGGCCAGGACAAATCCATAACCTGGGACAAAAAGCACTGAGAATTCTTATACCAAATAGGGTAATACAGTTTGTTCAAAAGAATCTTCTAATGATCTCCTGAAGGTTGGGGAATGGTTTTGTTGGCATCTCGTGAGTAACAGGAGGATGCAAATGAAAGATAATAAGAAAAATAATAATCCTTGCGTTTGATATTAAAGATAATTCATCCTGTAGATTTACTATAGAGGAGTAACAGTGAATTTTGTAGGCGAACACAGTAGCTAATTTGCAAGCAGCAATGTCCCAATATTACAAACAGCAATCAAGTGAATGACCAATTTTAAAGGAATTAAACAGGAAATTAAAAATCCTTTCATTACAGATAGGGTAGTTGGAATATGGAAATCATAGTTGAGGCAGAGTCCATAAATTATTGTTAAAGGGAGCAATAAAAAGTATGTGAGTGAATAGGAGAATGTGAATAAAGTAAGTTGTTCACTTGGAGAAAAACACTAGTGCAAACATTTCCCAGTGGTCTTTTTTCATGTGTGAGTGTCAGCTGGCTATTTGATGTCATGTTCTTATCCAACTCCAAATGTGTGCATTTTCCTAGCAGGGTGTCACTGGATGGTGATCGAGAGCAGGTGGTTTCCACCCCACACCCCCAAAAAATCTAATTTAGCTCTCCCATTGCTTCCACAGGCAGGGGAGCTAACACAAGACAGGCCAGGGCTGAACCTGAGGCATTCCTTAAACCTTTCTTTAAAAGTGTACGGTTCAGTGCCAGACCAGCAGTGCATTGGAGCCCGCTCTGCTTTCATCCCATTAAATACAAGTAGTTGTTCTCTAAATGATTGAGGCTCCTGTCATGAGGAAGCCAGTCATTTAAACATGCCCACACTATGCAAAAAAAACATTCACTACACTTCTACAATTCACTATGTAAATCCTGCAAAGCAATTGGGATGTCCTCCTGAACTGAAAGACGCCAATATCAAATATCAAGTGCTATCAAATATCAAGTGCTATCAAACCAACAGAGTTCCATGCTGTGATCAAACTGCAGAAGTATAAAATAAAATTTAGAAATAGTCTAAAATAAAATAAGTGAGAATATTCACACTGGAGAAGTGAAAGCACAGGGAGAATCCTGGTGACATTCTTTAAACTTAGTGATGTAGATAAACTGAACCCCAAAAATGTTTGACATAACTATGTGCTACAAAAGTGAACACTGGCTAAAACTCAGAAGAGGGCAGGTGAAAAGACAGTTCAGATTTAATTAATTTTGTAGAGAACACGATGACAATGTGGAATGGACCCTGAGACATGGTAGAGGCGGGGAATATCGACAAATTTAAGAAGCTTATACTTTTCCGGTCCTTGTATTCCCAGTTCCGTTAGTAATCATTTAGTAATGGGCTTCATCCCATCCTATCTACCGCGCGCCCCATATCATGAAATGAGCACGTGAGAGTTCATTGCCAGGTACCAGAAGCTAAATTTCTTCTTTTAGTCTCTGAGACCATTTTACCTTAATATATAAAATTGTGCAGAGTTGTGAAAAGTTCTTGAAACAAATCAGCTTCCAAATTAAGATTGATTTTAAGAATTTTCCACAATTATGTGCGATTTTAAATTGTCTCTGGTAAAACTTGATGGATTTTACACAGGAATCTGAGAATGTCCTGGATGAGAAAAGGCCAATGTGTCCACTTAGCCAATCCCCAAAGTTTGAAGAATAATGGACAATACTCTTTCTTTATACCCTTCATTCACATTTGTTTCCATGATCCAGTAGTACCTAGACCTGGGAGTATGGCTTATATATTACATGTGCAGTCTTTCCTAGCCCTTTATCCTCCACTTATATTCTCAAGTAGAAACATATCAAATCTTTTTTTTAAAGGCTCTTGTTGGGAAAGAGGATGAGTGGAGCCTGGTTACAATCCCTTGACTGTTGGCCTATGGCTCTAATAGGCTTCCACTATTCCATTAAGACTTTAGCTTTCTTTAAAAGTCTTATAAGAGGAAACTTTATCAAATGTCTTCTGAAAATTCAAGAGAATTATCTTCTCTGCTAGCTTAGGGGCCTCACCTGGAGGTTGAGAAGATTTATGAAAGACACATACACCTTCCAAAAGTTACGATGTTTAGGTTATATTTCAGTGTATTTAATTCATTGCTTCTGTCCCAAATGTCAAAGACCATTTCCCTGCAGGAGAGTTTGAGTCAGAATCCATTCCCAGGACTCTGTTCTGGAGCTGGCAGCAATAGGTGTTCCAGGGAGGTTGTGGGATTCATTTTCCTCTTCCTCATTCAGAACTCTGCTGCCCGCATACTTATCTGGACCAAACCCTGTACCCACATCTCACCAGTTCTGGTTAGGCTTCACTGGCTCCCCATCACCGAATGGATCGACGTCAAGATCCTCACACTTGGGTTCTGATCCATTCACTCTCTGGCACCTCCCTACCTCTCCGACCTCCTCCCTCCCCAATCCACCACCCGGCATCTGCGCACGACTGGAACTGGCTTCAGCCACTACGCCCCAAGACTCTGGAACACTCTGCTTCAATTCCTCCACCTTGCCCCCACCTCCCTCTTTTCAAGTCCCACCTGAAAACCTTCCTCTTCGACTGTGCTTATGACCACCAATCACCACACCCCCCGGCTTGGAGTCAGGCTCCGACACTGTTAAGCGCACTGAGAACCTACCCTGTGTGGAGGACGCTATATAAATGCACGTTGTTGTTTTTGTTCCTCACTTTGGGAAAGTATCAGGCACCTCAATTTGAGTGTGATGAATACAGGCGGTCCCCATTGCTGTATGATCAATCCTCCCAGTCTCTCAGCCCCTGCTCGTGGCAAGGACTCCCTCCAGTGCCTCACCCAAGTGACTGTTCTTCATGTTTGAGTCTGTACTGTCACTGTTGGAGGGTTTGCCATCCTGGAAAGGAATCTCAGATGATCTTGAGCTTAATCCTTTCCTGCTGCAACATACATCTTCCAGCAGCGAGTCTTTGGGTAGCAATCAAAAGCAGGGCACTATAGCTGATTTTTCCCCTTCTAAGCCCAGGAGCACTGAGGCTGACTGAGATCATCTAACTGATCAGGAATTAAATCTGGAACCTCCCCAGTGTGTGTGTATGGCTAAGTTCCACATTAAGCAGTCCATTTACTCACTGAGCTCTCATGGGGTACCAGGGAGGGGGCTTTGAAGACAAACTGATCTTGACTCAATTTGCTTTAGTTGACAGCTGTGCATAACAATTTGGTGCGTCAGATTAGCAGCTGCACTCTGCGCAGTGCCCCAATTCTGCAGCAAGCTCCATAGGTTCAATACATCAATCATAATTTAAACATTCTTCTGATGCGATCCAGTGCCACTCAACCTCAAAATGGTTACAGAAGGCAGTCCCTCAGCAACAGCTACTCACAGAGAAAGATCTTTAACACAGAAGAATCTAGGTTTGAATCGCTGAGTTATTGATCTCAGCCAAGGCAGCCACTGGGAGTACCATTGAAGTTACAAACTTAATTAAGTCAACTTTTTAAATTGAGAACTTTCACTTTTAGGGAACTTATAGATATTTTTAGTCATGTTAGAATGTCTCAAAGAGCTTCACAGTAATTATCCATAACTGTAGTAACTTTATTTGTTGGGAAACATAACAAACATTTTATACCCAGCAAGATCTCATAAACAGCTGTATGCAGAATGACTAATTAATCTAAAAAATTGTTGGGCGGGACACTGGGAGAAAATCTCTTTTTTAATAGTCTTGTCGGATCTTTAAAATTCATCTAATAATGTACAATCTGCTCCATCACCAACTCCACCTGAACCCATGGAATTTCCCGTGACTAGGTTCTCCAATTATCTCCCTGCTCTCAATAAAATTTTATAAACCTAACTAGCCATACACATTTATGACTCATGAGTCACTCTCAACTCTGGGCCCGACAGCAGCTCATACTGACCCACATTGCGTTC